CTCTCTCTCTCTCTCTCTCTCTCTCTCTCTCTCTCTCTCTCTCTCTCTCTCTCTCTCTCTCTCTCTCTCTCTCTCTCCCTTTGTGTGTGCTGATACCAGATACTGACCACGCAAAGGTGTTGCCTTAACGCTGGTACTGGAGCGCTGAAGACGAAGCTGGAGCTATGGCGCCCCTAGGTGAGTCATCAGGTAAGTCCCAGTGTCTGGTCTCCGCCTCTCTCCCGCTGCAGCCTCCACTGCAGCCTCCACACTCACAACCTCTGGCCTACCACTACTGCGCCCAGCGCTGAAGACTAACACAGCATGATGCTGAATAGTAGCTCACACTAACCTGGCTAGTGAGAGGCAGACCAGTCTATAAATACTACTGGTCTGGCTTCTGGGTCCTACTGGCCTAAACGTGAGGCCCAGAATGAATGGCCTGGAAATCGATCAGGCCGTACACTTGGATCGAATCTGATGGTCCAAGTGTGGCCTGGGAAAAAAAAAGAAAGCCAGCGTCTGAACCATTACCGGTACCAGGGCCTGGCCCAGCCGAACCAGGTGCGGACCTAAAACGGCCCTCTTTCTGGCCTGAACCGACACAGGCCCTACTTCTGGTGCCAAGGCCTGGCCCGGCCGAACCTGGCATGGGCCTAAAACGGCCCTCTTTCTGGCCTGAACCGACACAGGCCCCACTTCTGGTGCCAAAAATTAATGCGCCAGACTGAAACTAAGTCCCTACCCCTTCCTACCTACCTGACGGGTCCTACTGGGCCCGTGTGGGATCTACATATGCCACATGGGAGCCCGTGGCTGTACAGATGCAAAAAGCTGACACTCCGTTTTTGTGGCAGTTACCCAAATTGGCAAACTACTGATCAGCTGAGCCTGACTGGTGCGCCCACAACCACTGGTCATGAAAGCCAAATGCGACTCTGGGTACCAGACTCTTCCCAGTTAATCTTCTTCAAAACTGTGCAATGCGCAAACCAATCTTGCTTTTCTCTAGTGAGCATGTGATGCCTTCCTCCATCAATTTCTACATAGCATGAACATTATCTTGAAATGTCCTGCCAGCTTACGCTACGGCACTACAGTACGACTGCAAAGATCCAATAGGGAGCCATCAGATACAGCCCACAGTTTTCCCCCAAACACAAGGCACCCTCATCAAGACTGCATCGGACAGGAAACATTACTTGTATAGATTCATTGTGATGAGGGTACGTTGTATTCAAGTGAAAATGCTAGTGTTCCTAATCACGACAGAAAACAAGGAACGAGAGGTACGGTGTGTTCAAGGGAATCCTGAAGGACAAAAGAAAACAAGGAAAGAAAGAGGGACAGTCGTACCTGGTTCGTCGCCTCAAAAGGAGGACGCCCTGTTGCCAACTCGAAAACAAGACAGCCGAAAGCCCAAACATCCGTTTTATGGTTGTATGGCTTGCCTTCACATAATTCCTGGACAGCAAGCAGAGACGATTTCATTCCGTCAGGTAGCAAATCCTTCAAGATAACCGTAGGCAATCCTTCAAGATAAGTTCTTGTTTGCAGCATACAGATCAGATACTACGAACAGACTACAAAATATCAAATAATGTCAGAAAGAGCGGGGTGACCACTGACAGCTGTTCTGCACTGCCATTTTCATTTTCTCCATTTGTGAGAAAAGAGTTACTTTTTAACATTCTCACCCGCTTCTACCGTATGCATCCGAATAGAACGCCCGGTCATTATCGCAGAATCTGGACTGAAAGTTGACCAAATACAGCTATAATGACTTGCGTTCTGTTCGGTTGAGGACGGTAGCATGCGTTGCTCGCGTAAAACGTAGATCTCAGGCTTAAGAAAACGCGCAAAGCGAATGCTTTGGAAAAACAAGTAACCGCGCTGATTTCTCCAATTGAACAACTGAACCCCTTTCCGCAATGTTTTTTCAGCCATGATGTCCCTTTCGTTTTCTGTAGAGTGCTTCGTGTCCATTTTTATGTGCTGCTTACAACTTTGACTAATCTCACTTCTAGCAAACCTCCACTTCTTTTGTTCATTATTTTATTTTTTTCCTACCACTATCAAGCTTGCACTGTCTTCAGTGACTTTTTTGAGGGAGGGAGGGAGGGAGGGAGGAAGGAATCCATGTTCACATCTCATGTAAGCCGAACTCCTGAAGTGTGGTCCATTTTTATGTGCTGCTTACAACTTTGACTAATCTCACTTCTAGCAAAC